CCCTCTCACATCACTCTGCTCACCTCCTTAGGCCTTCTCAGGCCCATAACCCCTTCTGCCCCACTGCCAGGTCCAGCCCAGCATTTGGGGCACGTCCTGGTGCATCAGCCTCCCCACTGGCCTCCCTGCCTCCACGCTTGCCCCTGCAAACCTGCCTCCAAGTTGCCGCCAGAAACGTTTTTCCACAACATAATTCTGATCCCGTCACTTTCCTGCTTAAAACTTTCAGGGGCTCCCTGTTACTCTGGAGATCAGGTCCACACTTTGGCCTGGTCCTTACTTATCTGTTCTCTTCCCACCTACCCATGGCCCCAGGCCTGTCTCGCCCTCACTTGCATCCTCTGGGCTAGCCTTGCCAAACCAGATCATGTTTCCAGAACAGCCCTCGCTTCTGCTCCACGACAGATGCGACCTCCTCTGCTCAGAACCTTCTTCCTCCCCTATCCTGGCCTTCTTCCCTGAAGCCACTTCTTATGCTACCTCTCCTGGGAGGCCTTCCCAGATCCCCCCCAGGCTGGTTGGGTCCAGCAGCCCCCAGTGCTGATGCCCTCACTCATGGTGCCACCCTGTGTGTTCTAAGTGCCGGTGTCCATCTGTCCATTTCTCCCTAGCCCTGTAGGCTGCGAGGCCCCAAGGGAGGGCTTGTGCTCCATTCGCAGCCCTGTACGCTCTGACCTCTACAGGCTCTTAAGGAATGACCGGCCTTGAGTTGCAGAAGTTACCAAGATTCAGGATAAGGAGGCAAACCAAGGGAAGTTAAACGCCTAAAATGGCCTCTGCTCACCCTCATTCCCGGGTTACGGACCATGTGGCACCGCCTGATACCAGTCAGCCTTGCTCAGCAGAATCCCTCGGGGTGGGCTGCAGCCCTGGTGTCCCACTCCGCATCAGACCCTTGACTCTGATAGCCACATAGGGCACTCCGTCCAGCGGCTACACATGGCAGCCCCCAGAGATTCTGATGTAGGTGGTCTGGGGCGGGGCCAGAGCATCGGGGGCATTTACAGTGCCACCCTCCCAGTATCCTGCGAGTGTGCCACCAGCTTGAGGACTGCGCATGTGCAGTCATACTGGCGTAGTGGTTCTCACTCCCAGTCGCACATTATAATCCCCTGCAGAGTTTATAAAAATACACATGTCCTAGACCCACCATCCCTGACCAGTAAATTAGAATCCACGGGGGTGGTGGCAATCTAGGCATCAGCACTGAATCCTTGAAGATCCTGCCTCCCTTGCTCCTTCCCTCCCTCCCTCTCCCTTTTCCAGAAACCTTTGCTGTGCTCGCCCTGTCAAGCTCTGGGAGCACTGCGGTGAATCAGACCCTGCCCCTCCTAGGGGGGGGACGTTAACTCAGGGCAGTTAGAAAGAGGAAGAGCCCCCCGCAAGGGGGACCTGTCCATGGACAGGCCTGCTGGGCCCTGCTCCAGCTCCCAGAGCCTCGGCCTCTTCACCAGCCTGCTGCTGACCCGGGAAGCGCCCAGCCCTGTCTGCGGACGCCTGTGCTCAGAGGTCTTGTCCTGCTCCTGAGTCTGCCCAGAGGCCTGGGTCTCTGCTCAGTCAGGGGTGGGATGGCACGTGGTCGTTAGGAAGGGGGCATCCGGCTGGTGGCGGTGCAGGGTGGGCTGGGGCTCTGCTCTCTCCTTTGCACAGGGGAGGTCTGCAGCCACACCTTTGTCCGTGGATGCACCTGGGAGCATGTTTGTGTCCCAGTCTCGTGGGTGGCTCTGGTGAAGGGATGCTAACAGGAGTTTAAGGTCCCTTTGACAGAAACAATCAGCCTGAGCTCTGGGCATTTTTTAAAAAATTGAGGTAAAATTCATATAACAAAATTAACTACTTTAAAGTGAAAAATTCAGTGGCATTTAGTACATTTGCAATGTTGTGCAACTATCACCTCTATTTAGTTCCAAAATGTCCCCATCACCCTGAAAGGAAACTCTGTTCCCATCAGCAGTCCCTCCCATTCCCCCTGCCCCAGCCCCTGGCAACCACCAATCTGCATTCTTTCTCTACGGATATTTCACATAAATGGAATCAGACAATATATTGCCTTCTGTGTCTGGCTTCTTTCATGTAGCATAATGTTTTCGAGGTCCTTCCACATTTGTAGCATCTACCAGTATTTCATTCCTTTGTATGGCTGAATAATATTCTATTATATGCATAGACCACAATTGGTTTATCCATTCATCAGTTGATGGACATTTGGGCTGTTTTCACCTTTTGGCTATCGGGAAATCTGGACATTGAAAATTCTTTACATCTATACTCCAACATTGGCTGACCAGGTGTTCCTAGGTCTTCAGCATTGGGTGGTGGTCTTGGGTGGCCCCTTCCCCTGTTCTAATCAAACACAATCTTCAGGGGCGCTAAGGGGGCATATGTGTCTTTGGGGCGTCTCTTACTCCAAGTTCCCGCCTCCACTGGAATCTGTCTCTCCACGTCTTGCTGGGTGATTCCAGTCCGATCTCTGCACCATCTCACCCCACACCGTCACCACCCCAGTCCTGGGCAGGAGGCCCATGAGTATGCAACAGGCTGCAGCTGAGGGTTCAGGGGGCAGGTGGAGGGGGTGGACAGTGCACTGTGTCGACAGTAATTGAGAACTGAATTTCACTTGTCACCTTCTAAAAGGAAAAAACACTTTTTCTCTATACTCTCACAATACGTCTGACACCAAATGTGTGGGCATTTTTCCACACCAAGTGATTCTCCAATTCTGAGTGGACGCTGACTGGATGTCCTACAATTTAACTCAACTCTGACACCATCTGCCCGGATTTAGTGCAGACCCACAGGTTAAGGGCTCAGTCCCCCAGACCACCCCCACTTCAGATGCAAGTCACAAGGCCAAGGTTGTCATCTGTACTTCTGACCGACTGGCTATAAGTTGGGGGCTCCTACAACCTCCTTCCCAGGTTCAGTAATTTGCTAGAATGGTTCACAGAACTCAGGAAAGTTACTTATTAGAAAGGAAGTTAAAGGATACAAAGGAACAGCCAGAGGAGGTGATACATAGGGCGAGGTCTGGAAGGGTCCTGAGCGCAGGAGCTTCTGTCCCCGTGGAGTTTGGGGCGCACCGTGCTCCCAGATGTGTTCTTGTTCACCAACCTAGAAGCTCTCTGAACCCCTTCAGTTAGGGTTCTTTATGGGGGCTCCATTACATAGACATGACTGGTTAAATCATTGGCCGCTGGTGATTGAACTCAATCTCTAGTCCCTCTCCCCTCCCTGAGGTTAGCGGGGTGGGGCTGAAAGTTCCAACCTTCTAATCACAAGGTTGGTTTCCTTGGCAACCAGGCCCCATCCTTAGGGGCCTTCCAAAAGTCACCTCATTAACATAAACCGAAGTACGACGGAGAGGGGCTTGTTATGAATAGTAAAAGACTCTACCCTCACCTTTGTAGATCTGAGCTATTTCAGGAACTTTACAAAACCCAAATATTATAACAAAAGATGCTTCTATCCTGCTCTTATCACTTAGGAAATTACAAGTGTTTTAGGAGCTCTGTGCCAGGAATGGGAACAAGACCAAATATATAAATTTCTTATTATACCACAAGAGCACAGCGTCCTATAACGTCACACACACGCCTGCACAGGGTAGTTCTCATGGTCAGCATCTGCCCACAGGATTCAGACAGACGCCTCCCATATCCATCTTCCTCTTTTCCTTTTCAAATTCCTCCCAGCCAGTATTTAAAGCTGCCGACAAACAACTCTATTTGTTTGGAGCAACGTAGACTTGCATCTCCTCCTGTCCTTACAAACCATGCTCTGGGGTGGGAAGGAGGTGGGATGGGCACCCCCAAGGTTGATTTTATTCTTCTTCTGAATCGAAAGAAACTTTCTCTTGAATTCTGCCGTATTTCTAGGCCAACTGACTCAAAGGGCCACCAGCTTTTAAAAATAATATGAAAAAAAAATCTGCTTATAACTCAAGATGTCCAGTGTCATGGGGGTTACCCTACCACTTTATACACAGGTGGGATGGGGCCATTGCAAGCCTGGAGGTGCCTCTGAAATTACCCATTGACTCCTTTCTGATAAATTCTGATGGTGCCCCCAGTTTGTCTGGTGTTGCATTATTTCTTTAAAGCTTGCTTGTAGATAACGGTGAGGAGCTAGGCTTTTACTATGAGTGATTTGGAGACCATCAGATGCTTTTGAGAAGAGAAGGGACGTGCCTTGACTTAGATTTTGAAATCACCTCTCTGATTGCCGTGTGTTGAATATACCATAGCGGTCAAGGAGGCCACTGGTTAGAAGGCTGTCTCCACACTGCAGGTGAGAGGTGATGATAGCTGGGGCCGGGACAGAGATAATTGAGGGGAAACAAGCAGTCAGATTATGGATGTTTTGAAGGCAGAAATGATAGGTTCTGCTGGTAGATTGGATGTAGGATGTGAGAAAAAGAGAGAGTCAAGGATGACGTCAAGATTTTTGGCCTGAGTGACGGCAAAGGTAGAGTTGGCATTTCCTGAGGAACGGGAAAGCGCGGGTGGAGCAGGTTTGGGGTGGGAGGAGAGAGGAGTTCAGGCTGGGAATGTGTCTAAGGAGCCTACTGGACGTCCAAGTGGAGGTGAAATAAGCAGGTGATAACTATCTGAGATTGGAATTCAGAAATGGCAGCAGGGGTGGTGGTGGCGGAAGACAAAAGCAACGAAAGTGACGGCTTAATGATCCTGCCTCCCCCCACCCCCCACAGTTAACTGGAAAAGTAAATGGGGGGGGGAATCACACATTGCGCCAAGAAGGAGCTTCAGAGAGTATCCGGCAGAAGGGGGAAACTGAGGCCCAAAGAGAGCACGTAGTTTGCTCAAGGTCACACTGCAAGTTAGTGACAGAGCCAAGACAGAGCCAGTTCTTTGGGCTTCTGGCACCTTCTACTCTTTCTACCACACCAGGCTGCCTACCACCTCTGGGATTTGAAGGCTGCACGTGTGGACGGAAGGCAGGCAGGCTGAGACTGAGTGACTCTCAGTTTTGTTTTCCTCCAGGTCACCATCCTCGTCAGCCTGGCCCTAGCTTTCCTTGCCTGCATCGTGTTCCTGGTGGTTTACAAAGCCTTCACCTATGACCACAGCTGCCCAGAGGGATTTGTCTATAAGGTAGGGGTTCTAACAGGTGAGTGGCCCCAGGTCACCATCAACTTCAATTAGAGGGTTTATCAACATCTTCTTTTCATTGATGTCCAAATTCTGGGTATGGCAACCTCCCTGCAGACTGTTTACAATGTACTATGTGTCTGGCAGAGAGTTTTCAAGTTTTCCTGAAGGACTTGGTCTCCAGTAGCAGTGGAGCCTCTCCTCCCTGGTGGTGCTTTGCAGAACCAGGAGTCAGGAGGTGGACTGGCTTCAGACTGCATGCACATCAGCAGTCAGGGAGAGCTTACTCCTGCTTGAGATACACTACTCCATCTCTGGAAAGATCTGCCGTGGTGCAAGTCTTCCTGGTTTGATGGCTGGTTCCTTTTCCCCGCCGTGGCCCTGCAGAGATGTGAAGACAGGGAGCAGGTGCTTCTGAGGTGGTCTACCCTGGTCTTGCAGCTGGGCCTCTTGCCCCTGACCCTGGCTCACTCTGATTGTGCTCCTTCCCTTGAAGAACTGAACTGTCCGCATGACTTCAGGGCATCTCCTCGCCCCTCTGAGCCTCAGTTTTCTTGCTTGCAAAGTGAGCACTCATAGTGGCTGCCTGCAGGATTTTTGGGAGGCCTTAAGGAGAGAATTTAAGTAAAATCAATTGGCAAAGGGCCTGCTAGATGATGGGCTCTCAACAAATATTAGTTGCAATAAAGATAGAATCTAGTTTAGAGCTGAAGCAGCTGATATTAATATTTATGAATTACCCTTTACCGAGTACCTATGATATGTCACTGCCTTTCTTAGACATTTTCATAAACACGACCTCAATTGAGCTGTCCGCCCATTCTGAAAAATAGGTTTTATCGCCGCCCTCATTTTACATCTGAGGAAATAGAGATTAAGAGCGTTTCATTAAGAGAGATTTCCAAGACATCACAGCTGTTATGTTCCAACGTGAGGGAATCAATGGGGAATGTTCAGGCTTAAAAACACACATCCCTGGGGCCCACTCACGGCATAGTGGTTAAGTTCGGTGCGTTCTGCTTTGGCAGTCCAGGTCCCAGGTTCGGATCCCAGGTGCAGACCTACACCACTTGTCAGCCATGCTGTGGCAGTGACCCACATATAAAGTAGAGGAAGATTGGCAACAGATGTTAGCTCAGGGCTAATCTTCCTCAGCAAAAACAAAAAACAAAAAACACACGTCCTTTGGTTCTGTTACATGATTTCCTAAGATGACATTCTTAGTACTTAGAAGCTGAGGTTCTGAAAGCTTGGCCACAACTATCAACAGGAGACAGTTGAATGAACTATGATATACCCACACAATGGAGCTCTGTGCAGCTGTGAAAATGAGTGGGAAAGGCCAGACATGCACGAGGAATATCTTCTAGGACAATAATGAAAAAAAAAAACGTGCTACCTTTGTGTGAGGAAAAGGGAGGTGAGGGATATTTGCTTATATTTTCAGAAAGAAATTCCAGAAGGATAAATTAAAAAACTAAGAAAAATGGTTACTCAGCAGGGAAGAGAGGGAACAGAGTAGAGGGTCAGGGATGAAGAGCAGGCTTCTCTGGATATATCTGGCTATGTATTTGTCCTTGATGTGCGTAAATGTTTGACATACTGAAAAAATAAATACATAAGAAAAAGTAATCCCTGAAAATTAAAAACAAGCTAAACAAAGACTTTAGCTCTATATTAAGTTGGGGACATAAACTTACAAAGAAAATGAGTTTTCTAAATGACTGTAGAACACAGTCTATTGACTGGACACAGTGGAATGTATTCTTTTTTTCCCTGTTCCAACGCTGGATAATACTGGATGGCTGTAGATGGGAGGGAGCAGGAGAGGCCCATCCATACCTTGACTGTGGGCCCTTTGTTGAGGGACCTTGCCTTATTGACTGTAGATGGTCCGGAAAGATGAAAACAAGATACAATTTTGTTTCAGTGGTCATAAAGGTATGGCCAGTGTTGGTTACGGAGCTGCTGTATTCCTAGTGCCTGGAATAGTGCCTGGCACATCATAAGTGCTTAATAAATTAATAAATGTTGGGTTTCTTTGTCTATCCTTTACCTATTTAATTCTTTTTTTGGGAATATATTTTAAAGACACATAGAGCTGCAGAGAAATCTTCAAGTTCCTTCAGTAGACTGTTAATCATAATATTGGTGTTATTTGTGACCATTTGATATCTATTGTAGGATAATGCAAATATACAATTATATCAATGTTGTTAGGAACCAAGACTTTTGATATAAGAGAGAAGAATTATAAGTATAAAATCAAGGAAATAAAATAGACGCAGCCGTTGGCTGTGGGCAATGGCCCAGAGAAGCAGTTGGGGGATGGGTGAATCAGCCAGATAAAGAGGATCTGGTGGGCTACCAACTGTGTCCACCACAGCCGCACAGGCAGTGAGCGGAGGAGGTTGGCCTTGAAGTAGTATCAGTATCAGGTTCGTTTCTCCTGGCTTCAAGTAGGTGGCGGCTTTGACGATGGGGATGGTGATGATGTTGGGGAATGCCTGCTGAGTGCCAGGCGCAGGCCAGGTGCTGTCACCTGCCCTCTGGCTGAGAGCCTGATGTGGCTGTGGGCCCCAGCTGGGGTGGCCATGTTGCAGGGTGGGTTGGAAGCAGTCCGCTGAGCTACCCCTGACTCTGTCTCTTTCTTCCCCAGCACAAGCGCTGTATCCCGGCCTCCCTGGATGCTTACTACTCATCCCAGGACCCCAACTCCAGAAGCCGCTTCTACACGGTCATCAGCCATTACAGTGTGGCCAAGCAGAGCACTGCTCGGGCCATTGGGCCGTGGCTGTCGGCGGCCGCCGTCATCCATGAGCCCAAGCCACCCAAGACCCAGGGCCACTAGAGGCCCACCCCAGCCAGAGTGGAGGGGGAGGGGGGACCCCCGTTGGCTAAGCCAGCTCCAGTTACAAGACAACACTGTACTCCTGGGATATGGGGGTGGGGGCAGGGCGGGGGTGGGTGGGGGGAACTCACGGAAAATATCGTGCACTGGAGTTGTCTGAATTGATATTTCTTTTCGTCCTTTGGTATTGTTGATCCGTCCCCAGTCAGGCTCATGTACAAAGGCATGTTTCGTGTTGATTGTTCCCATGTAAGATATTTTCAAAGCCACTGCTTATTATTTGTTAGGAAAATTTAAAAACAGAAAAAGAACGAAACAAAGAAAACAACAAAAAAGGATTAAACTGGCTGCTTCTGGAAGATATTGAGGGGCAGAGCACACTCCCTAGGCTTCTTAGAGGAGAAATCGTAGCTTCAGTGTGGGCTTCGGAAGGAAGGTACCGAATACGTGAGCGAAGCAGGGCCGGGCTCTTTGGTTGGCCGCTGGTCTGCAAGACAACACAGGAAGTCAGGGCCTGCCGAGGTGGAGCGAGGGACTGGTTTTGGCATTAGCAAGCTCAGGACGCACACAACGCAAAGTGGACGGCACCCACCACTGGTATGTTTTGCAAGGTTAGCACAAACCTGTACGTGTGGGCATCCGAGCCAGAGCCTGGGCCGACCCACGGGCCTGGGGACGTGGATGGGGTGAGCAGACGCTGAGCAGTGGGCAGACTCTCTTTGTGTTTTTCCTGTGTTTCTGGACACAGGTGTCCACACCTGGACACTGCCCGTGTTGATGCGACGACAGGGGTGGCAAACAGAAGGCAGGAGAGGCTGCAGGAGAGGGAAGGCGAGCACAGGCGTGTAACATTTGGCCAAGCTATAAGCACAGGCAGCCAATTTTTAAATTTTTGTTTGTTGTTTCCCAAAGTGCTAATGACAATAGGAAAATCCATAAGAGTCATAACAGGAACCTCAGGTGACAGCCAGGGAGACCTTAAGACTAGGGCTGCAGCAATGCCAGATCATTCTAAAGGAAGCTGAAAAATGTGACCGTTTCTGCCCGCTCTGTTGTGTTGACAGGGAACGTTCCTCCAAACTCCCCAAGCTGGTTCTAGGAGCTCCTGACCAGGAGGCAGCATCTAGCAGTGATCAGGCCTCCCACTGCCCTGGAACCACATCAGGCTCTCCCACGCCGCTCTCCCACACGTGTTTTGGGGAGGCCCACTCTGTGGGGTGTCGGCTCCAGGTCCAGTGGGGCCAGAACTGGTGGGGAGAGTTGGTTATTTGAAATGTGGCACTGTTTCCCCATGAGGCTTCGACAGGCCATTTAGAGGGCATTTTTTCGTGGCTTGCTATGTTGCCGAAATCATCGTACACAACAGCTGGGTAATTGACTAGCATAGCTTGAACTAGCCTGCCAAATGCTATCATCTGACTCACCCCCACCCCCATCACCTCGAGTCACCTGTAAATTCATTTGTCATATGAAGCGGAATAACAATGTCCCTAGCAAAACCGCTGAGTGCTTTATAATTTTGTGGTGTATTTTTGTCAGTAGGTAGCAGAGGCTGAAGTATTTTTTGGTGTAATTCTTGAACTTTTCTGACAGGAAACAAATAAAGATAGATGTGTCTGAGAGTCTTGATTTTCCTTTGCAACTTTCTTTAGCTTCTTTCTCTTCTGCTCAGTGAGTCCAGCCAGGAAAATGCTGGGGGTGGGGGTCCCAAGGACATGGTGGGCTCCAGAGGCAGAATGGCCTGCTAGGCTGGAGGTGGAATTGGGCTGTGGAGGCACCTCCATCCTCAGGCGACGGGGCCGGAAATGAGGCTGAGGTCAGAAGCAAGGACCAAGAGCTGTACTGGGCTACTTCTCATGCAGCCCAATGTCCTTCACTCTGTGAGCATCTGCTGAGCACCCACTGAGGGCCAGGCTGTGCTGGGCAAAGGGCATTCAGCGATGAAGGACCCATATTCACTGCCCTGAAGTCTGGAGGCGGAGGCGGACGTAGAGACAGACATCGGCAGAAGAAGAGTCTGAGGGTGCCATTGACAGAATACAAATGGCCAGTAGCCAACAGCTTGAGGAGGAAGATGATGAGCACTGAGTGGGGCCCTTTTCATAATTAGCTCATTTAAGGCTTGTTATAACCTTGGCAGGTAGAAGTTACTGATCCCATCTGACAGATGAAGAGACTGAGGCTCAGAGGAAAGAAGAGGTGCCCTAGGGCTATAGCAGATGAGCTGGAATTTGAACCCAGGGGTGTGTGACTCCTTTGCCCCCCTAGACTGCTTCTGTAAGACCCTGAGCAACGCTGTCAAGGTTGTAGTTCATTCCTCAGAAAGTCAAGTCAAGCTGTCGTAAAAGCAAACTAGCCTATTCCCAGCTGGATCTCGGTGTCAACGGCTGATGTTAAGGATAGCAAACACTTAAATGCCCCTCGCTATGTGCCGTGTACTGAGGGATTTGTGTATCTTACTTCATATAACCCTCCTGCCAGTTCTGTGAGGTGGACACCCCCATCATCAATGTCCTTGTCGTCATCACCACCCCCATTTTGAGATGAAGCCATGGAGCCCGGAGCCGCGCGGCAGCTTGCACAAGGTTGTGCAGTTGGGAAGTGGCCAAGATGTGATTCCAACCCACACATTTTGGTACCAGTGTCTTAACCACTGTGCCATTTGGCAGTGCTGCTCATGTCTGCATTTTGCTTGGTAGTTTATAGTACGTGTTCACAACTCTTCTCTAACTTACGTGGCAAGCCATTTGAGGGAGAGACCAGGATTGACTTTGGGCAGAGCTGGGCGTTGGGGCTCCAAGCTGGTGGCTGCACCAGGAGTTGTGCATGGCTGGCAGGAGGGAGATGGAAGAGAGCAGGGCTCGTGCCCTGTGAGAGGCATAGGGTGCTGCGCCCGGGCCTCAGGCAAGCCTACCTGTGCCCATGAAGACTTGAATTCCAGCCTCCCTGTAGGGCCCGGTGAGCTCGAGAGGACAGGGCAGGATCCGGGCTGGCTTCCCACTCGCAGAGGCAGGCTGACCATATGGCCAACGCATAAACACCCACGATTTGTTTCAATTACACAAAGTCAACTAAAGACTTAATGAACACATGTTCAAACATTCTGTCATAAATGGATTTGCCACTCCATTGCCTCAAAAAATAAACCAAAGCTACCTTTGCTCTGGAACGAACAGGCTATGGGTGTGTGACTGAAAGAAGGAGAACGTGAGGGATGGAGAAGGATGAGAGATACTTCTGCTTTTAGGAGCAACCCTGGGGCCATGTGCTGTTCCTGGTGGTGTCAGAATTTTCTGATCAGAAAACAGGAGGATGCCGAACTCCTCCCATGAATACCCAAGGAGAGGGAGATTAGTTCTAGAAGAGTTTAACCAAAGGGAGTTTGGCCAGGGAGAAGCTCTTCTGGTTTTTGGAGGATGGGGTTTCACAGAGCACTGCTCATTGACAGAGGGTCAAGGGAGACAGGAAATGGTGATAAAAACAGCACCTTGGTTCGTAGAACAAGCTCTCTGAATAAGTGGCTTTTGCGCACTGTTTAATCTCCTCACCAGCACTGGGACCCTCTCTCTTGAGAGGCTCACGGTTGACGGGCAGGTGAGACAGCACTGAAAGTGAGCAGGAGAGGTGGCGGGGCAGACGTTCTGAGGAGGGGCGAGTGTGTCGGGGGTGTCAGCCAGTGGTCCTGGGAGGGACTGGCCTTGGAACTGGGCCTCGAAGGCCAGGTTGCATTTGGAAGGGAAGAAGTCAGGGGTGGAGAGAAGACACCGCAGAGTCCCGGGAAGAGCATCACAAAGAGGCCCAGGGTTGCCCCTCACGAATGCTCCTGGGACGTACCCCCTGCGGCAGTGCTGGATGGGAAGACTGAACAGGCACAGGAAGCTGCCCCTGCTCCCCTGGGCTCACCGTCCAGGCTGGCTGGAGCGGGAGGGAGACAACGAACAGACAGCTGCCGCACCTTGGGGAGAGGCAGTGGTGGTGCCCGGGGCAGTCCCAGCTGTTGATCAGGTCAGAAGATATTTAGGGAGAAGTATGTCTTTCTGGAAAATTGAAAGACCCACCTGTTGAAAATGCTGTGATCAATTTATCCCCCTTCCTCCCCTATAATGTGCACTAACCCGACTGAGGAGCCATGTGGAAGAAGAAATAAATCAGCTGATAATTTTTCCAAGAGGCAGACAACACCCTCTCTTAAAACAAAACAAAACAGTGCTCCTGAACAGTTGAGGGAAGAGGGCTGGTGTCCATGGCAACATCAATGCCAGTCCCCAAAGATCAAACTCAGTCTGGCACAGCAGGGTGGGGCAGGGGTTATCTGATTCTGCCCTTTTGTCAGAAATTATCTGTTTCTGAGAATCTGGACCCAGAGTTCATTAGTCAAAGTTGCCCTCAACGATGGCCACCCCTCTCTCTGGACACTCTTCGTCTTTCTCTCCACTCTCTCTGTCTTCTCTCTCTTTTGATCTGTCCTTGTCTCTGTCTCTGCCCCTCTGTCTTCTTCCAAGAGAACAGTGTCCAGAGGCTGTGGACTGACTTCATGTAATCTATGCTCCAATTCCAGGTCCCTGGTGAGTGCTGCTGGGTTGGGGCCGGGTGTGGGGTGGGGCACGTGCAGAGGGGAACAGAGGGGCCCCGGAGGAGTTCAGCCTCCAGGCTCTCCTGCTCTTGCATCTGCCGGCTTGTCCAACGCCCTTCCTCTCTCTAAGCTTCAGCTTCCACGTCTTTAAAATGGGGGTAATACCGGCCCCGTGGCTTAGCGGTTAAGTGCGCGCCCTCCGCTGCTGGCGGCCCAGGTTTGGATCCCGGGCGCGCACCGACGCACCGCTTCTCCGGCCATGCTGAGGCCGTGTCCCACATACAGCAACTAGAAGGATGTGCAGCTATGACATACAACTATCTACTGGGGCTTTGGGGAAAAAAAAAAGGAGGAGGATTGGCAATAGATGTTAGCTCAGAGCCGGTCTTCCTCAGCAAAAAGAGGAGGATTAGCACGGATGTTAGCTCAGGGCTGATCTTCCTCACAAAAAATAAATAAATAAATAAATAAAATGGGGGTAATAATCGTACCTACCTTGTTTTGCAAGAATTCAATGAAATAATACTTAAAGACTCACCTGTAGCAGGTACTCAACAAATTGTAGCTGCTATATCTTGAGTAAGTCTTTCATTCAGCCTCAGTTTCCTCATTTGTAAATTGGAATTGTTGATACATAAACCCTCTCCCCCATAAGGTTGCTGTGGCTTAAAATAAGGCAGTGGCTGTGCAGTGCCCCTGATGTAGAAATCCGTTACCTCCCCCTGCCTTAGGAAGCTCTGGGGGACCGCCTCCTTCCCTCCAGGCCTCCCTTACGTCCCCATCACGG